TGTTTTTAGTTGTGTGCACATTGCTATAAATTTTTATCATTGTATAGTGCATTTTTAATCACTAATAACTTTTTGTCCCATAATCTGCCATGTTCAATGTTGATACAAACCACATCCGAACTCATGTGGTTACTGTTTTCACAGAAAATATTAAATACTATATAATGTAAATATCGTATGTTATGATTGTACTTTCTACGTGTCTCATATATTTTAAATATGTATCTTATAAATCATATACATATTTTTCTTAATTACAGTCTGACTATGTTTATGAAATAGAGTATTTTAGCCATGAAAGAAAAGAGAGGTATTTTAGCAGAATATGAGAGTAAGTTTATACCGGTGGCCCTATTTGACAGCATGCCATGGAGCTGTAGCAGTCAGACTCGTTTGAGCTCTTGACTGGGTTGTTCTTCCTGCTCTCTGAATAGTACCAAGGAAGTGAACACAGAGTTCTCTGGGCCTTTCTTTTGGTTTCTGAGACTGCTATCACATTATCTGACAGAGGCCACGAGGAGGGCAGTGGAAGAGGCCTGCCCTGGCCAGCCAGACAAGCCCTGTCCGCTTGGGCTTCGTACACAGGATGGATGCCAGGTTCACACTGCCCTCATGTCCAGAACACCCTGAAGGCTGTTCCGTCCCTTCTGTGGTCCCCAGGCCTGGCAGAAAGTGGTCACATGCAGATTCTCAGTGTTCTGTGTTTTGATGGGATACAGGAAAGGGGTATTTCTAGTTTTGCCATTTACCTAAGGAGCATTTGCTTCTGAAAGATAAAGACATTTTCTCCCCTGGATTCCAGATTGGAAAATGTGATGACACAATTCCAGTATTCTGTAGCCTGTTAGTGCTCAGCGATGATAATGCTGTGTAGCCCTCACTACATTATTCACATCACATTGTATACCCATTCACCTCTTTCTTCCCCATGAATAATAGTGCTTCTTGTTCTCTTCTCTGCTTGTAATCCCAGCATGTGGAGGGCATTGCACTAAGTCATGGTGATATGAAAATGAGTAATCTGTATAATGCCTACTTTTCTGAAGAGTATGAAGGAGTTAGAGAAGATAAAAAATGTGGAGAAAAGCTATTTTCACATCTAACCACAAGCCTCTTTGTTATGGTTTGTGTCTTGTTGTCCCCCACAGCCTCATGCAGTCATTGGGGCACGGTTCTAGAGGTTGTGATTAATTCATGATCCAACACTGGGATTATGGGTGAGTGCTGCTGGGATTATGGGTATCAGTGCTACACCTGCCCTAGGGCACATAGCCTGGGTGCATTATAAGGTAGGGAGACAGGCTTGCTCTCTGCCTCCTATTGCCACTGTGACTGCCGCTGCCTCTGCTGCAGATGCTGCTTTACCCTGTTAGCTCTTTACTGTTTTCTGCCACCATGAGCTGCTGCTCTCTGCCATGTGCTGCTCTGCCTTGAAGCCAGTTGAGTATGGACTACAACCTCCACAAGCTGTGAGCTAAATAAGCCTTTCCTTCCATCATTCTGGGTGTTGGGTATTTTGCCCTGGCAATGACAGAAGAGCAACTGAGATAATCTGTTAGGGTGTTTAAGAAGTACAACATACTTAATTAGTATTTACAATCTCATTTTTAAAACAGTGTCATATTACCTCCAATTTCTAATGTAAATCCTTATTTTTCATTAAAATTTTCCCTAGCAGCTCTTCTTGATTTGGGGTCTTTTGAGTAGAATTCAGGTGTGGGGCTGATGACCAGTTACTCACAGTTGCCCAGTTTATTACATCTATTAGAACCCAAGCCCATCTGCGATGGTCAAGCCTACATTTGTATTACCAAGCACCCCTAAGTCTTTGGAAACTAGTCCTTTCTGCCAAGCAAGAGATGAATATCTAACATGTATGTTGCATTTCAGCAAGATTATAGCAGCTACAACAACACTGGAAGTTCTCCTTAATTTTATCCATTTTGGTTATGAATGAAGGTCAATGTCACCTCCAGCTACACACATGACACAGCAGAACTTGTTTCCCTAACCAAAACAATCACGGTATCCTAGAGGTTTCTGTCTTGATAAAGGAAGGAGGAAGAATGACTAGCAACAAAAGGGATAGAGAAAATTCTTTCTAACTAATGGCCTCGGAGAGAATGACAACGCTATAGCTGATCATTTGGGAGGTGTTCAGGATTAAGTGTACAAAATGACTCAGTCCACAGGGCCCACTGGCCTGGCCCCTGGGCACGCTGAGCTGGACACCAAGACCGGGTATGGTGGTGCACACCTGTAATCCCAGTGCTGGGGAGGCTGAAACAGGAGGATCACTGTGAGTCTAAGCTGCACAGTGAGACCCTGTACCAAATACTTTAAACAAAAACTCAATCTAAGTGTTAAGTTAATGGAGTTCTAATCCAAGTGCGGAATAGTTGTAGTAGGATATATGCTGTTGTCCCATGCTCAGGGTTGAAACAAAAAGTAAATCTAGAGTGTCCTTGGTTGCTCCAAGGTCAAGCACAGAAGGAAGGATGGAAAGAGCTTTCTAATGATGAAGACGGCAAGATCTCTGGATCTTCTTTCCCAGTATTGTCCCTGAGAGTGCTGGAGACACAGATACTGTTTGGAAGTTGTTCTCATCTGACACCTTCAAGGGGGATTAATTTCACCACTGGATGGGCAGAGAAAGAGGAATTAATCTTGGGCACTGAGATATTAGGAGAGATTATAACGCAGCAGGATGGTAAAGATGCGGATAATAATAGTGAGTGTATGTGTAGCGGGGAAAGTGGCCTTAAGAAATTAACATGGCAGGATGGTAGGGTCACTAATGTTTCTCTATAGGGACTGCACTGGCATCACTGGGAGGGTGACATCTTTTGGCAGAGGTGATGTAACACATGTGGTACTCCTCAGTCACTGTGTAGTAGTAAGATAATGTTGTCAAGTTCTAAGTGCTCATCATGGAGGATGACACTGTTCTCCAACTAGGACTTCTAAAGATTTCAATAATATTGTCTCTAGATTGGGCTTTGCCAGCAAGACATCCTGAGTTCCTGGGCAGGTTGTTTTTATGTATGTAGACTTTAGCTTCCTCATTTGGGAAACTTAAAGGATTTAAAGATCTATAACGTTTATTTCAGTGCTTACAGCCATTGAAACCATAATTTTTGTGTAGTCAGATTTACATAAGTGTGAAAAATGCTAAACACAACCAACTTTTAAGAAGGAAGGGTTTATTTGTTTCATGACTTTAGAGGGTTCAGCCCATAGTTGTTCTGAACATTGAGGGGCACAGGATGTCATGGTGATAGTGCAGAGGAGGTCTGTTTACTACAGAGTTCATAAGAAGCATAAAAGAGAGAGAAGGTGTTGGGTCTCTGACATCCTCACCCCCAGTGACCTGACTCTCTTCCACCAGGCTCTACCTCTTCAGCATCTACCACCTCCCAATAGCAACACAGCCTTCAACACCTTGGCCTTTGGACTAGGACGGGGCATTTCAAATTCAAAATCTAGCACTTTCTGAGTAAAACAAATGTGAATGGTCTCCTTCGACTCTAAAAAGAGATTAAATGTAACACCCTAAAACAGAGCTAAGTCTTGGATTATTAGCTAAAAACCTCAATATATACTGAATTTCAGCCACTGTGTTTCTTTCATAGTCTTTTTCATTTTTTCTCCCATGGAAAAATGGCTTATTTCTATTTGTACTGAATGGGAATGGGAAAGAGTCTCAATAATAGGACAGAGTAAAAAGTTTTGTGATATTAAACAATTTCAACAAGAAATAATTTACGAGTCATTGCTGGCCTCCAGTTTATTTCATTTTTAACTTGTCCCCTCTTGCACCTTAGCCTTCCCTCCAAGGGCCAGGCTTTTATCGCTGGGATCATTTGTTAAAAGTTCTGCTTTGCTATGTGAGATTGCAAAAAGGATCTGTGTACTCAGGAACATTCTCACCATTTTCAAAGTATCCAATTTTTGTCTCACTTGCTTGGTAGAAATGTCTCCCCTTGGGGTATTCTTACCCACTTGAGTGCTTTAAGCCTACATTAATACACTTATTTCGACGAGATCTTTAATCAATATTTCATGGGATGCATTGAGGAGACCCATTTCATCTCTCTTAGTCTCTGCAGGTGCAGGAGTGGGCGAAAGCAGTGGCCTGGGAAGACGGCATCATTTACACACAAATGAAGATGTTCCTATCGATCACGGACTTGTTGGGATAATAATACTTGTGATGAATCATTTATAGGAAGGGGACAAGGCATTTTATGTTTTGCAGAATGGAAGTTTTGTGTCCTTAAATACATATTAAAGACCAGTTATTCAGAGAGTCAAGGATAACCATCAGCGTGTCCTCCTGGATGGGATAAGTACTAAGGATAACAAAAGGACATTTGGGCCAGCTGGGACCACAAATGAGGACACTATTTGTAAATTGGGATATTCTGAAGAGATCTTGAGGTTTTGTCATCTGTGGACAAATAAAACTCAAGCAGTGCGAAGGCTGAAGTGGTCTTTTCAGTGGCAATTTCTTCTTGGGAATGCTTATATTGTGGTGACAAAAGGCGTGGGATTTGGCTCCAGGAGGGGCTTACCTCAGCTTGTGGCCCTAACGCTGAATACCTACTTGTGTGTGACTGCGAGTGCTTAGTGTAGATCCCTCAAGTGTCGCTTCCTAAGCATAAAGTGTTTGATTAATAGTAATATATATTGAGCACTTAGTCAGCATAAGGCATCCATCTAAGTTCTTAATACATATTATCTTTTATAATGTTGAAAAGAAACCCTCAGAGAGAAAGGCCATAGATTGCCATAGCTTTGTACAAAGTCAAGAAAGTGAGCTTCTCCTTTTCTTTCTTCTTCGAAATTGTTTTAGCTTTTTTAGTGCATTTGTCTTTTTTTTTTTTTCTTTTGACACAGAGCATTGCTACACAGTTTAGGTCACAGTAGTGATCTTTCTGTCTCAGCCTCCCCAGCACTGGGATTACAGGCATGTGCCATCATGCTGTTTTGGGGCAGCACAGCGTGCACGGGGTTCCCAGGGGCACGACATGCAATACCGGAAATCGAACTCAGGTTCTTACGCTTGCCAGGTAGGTGATTAGATCGCCGAGCTATCTCCCCAGTCCAGAGTGTCTTTTCATGTAAATGTTTGAATAAGTTTCACCATTTTACTAGGACTTCAATAGCAATTACATTAACCTTAAGGGTAAATTTAGAGAGAAACAACGTCTTTATAAGGTTTAGTCTCAATTCATGAAAATGATTTCTCTACTTAGACCTTTGACTTCTTTTATTACCTGTTTGGATTATTTAGCATAACCTGTGCATTATTTGTTGGATTCATATGCAACTATTTTTGGAGTGAATTTGAATTGTGTTGCATTTTTAATTTCAGTTTTTACATATGTATTTCAACAGAAAATAGATGATTTTTATGGGTTTGTATAAGAAATACAGAATAAGGAGATCTGTTTGGTACAATATTGGTGCATGCAGATAAAATATTTCAATTATTTTTCATCCCTGCAACACTTTGCTCCTTTTACTCTCCCGCCTCTGATCCTCTTCCCCATACCTAAAAGTCTACTTTCAAGTTTCCTGTCATATGTCCTTTATGTTGTTTATTTTTAGATTGATCATATGTGAGAAAATGTTATGTTTAACCTTTCTGACATGAACTTCCTACACCTAACATGAGAATACTCAGTGGCTCACTTCCCCCAAATGATATGTGACATGATTTTTGTTCTTTTTATGACTGAATAATATTCCACGTGGTATATATACCACATTTTCTTAGTCCATTCATCTGCTGATGGGCATCTAGGATGTTCCCACGGCTCAGCTATTTTGAATTGTGCCAACATGATCGTGTATGCATTTCATAGTGTACTCTCTTTAGCTCTTTTAAGAAATATACAAAGGATTTGTATAGCTAAATCAAAGGGCATGTATGATTTTAGTTTTTTGAGTAATTTCCATCCATAGAGGTTATACTAGTTCACATTCCCACCAAAAGTGTAGAATTGTTCCTTTCCATTAACATCCTCATCAGGTTTCATTGGTTTTTCTATTTTTAAAAAATATATTTTGTATAAGGTTTCATTATACAGCTTGGCCTTGTAGTGATCCTTGCCTCTCAGTCTCCCCAGCGCTGGGATTACAGATGTATGCCACCACTCCCTGTGTCACTCACCAACTCAGTAAGCCTGGGGGTGGGGATGGCACAGCATGTGCTGCCAGGAATGAAACCCCAGTCCCTGGGCTTGCCTTAGCAGGTGCTTAGTCTGTTGAACTACTTTGCCGGTCCTGTTTTCTATACTTTTTAATTTTATTTTTAAATTTTTTTCCATAACTTTATTGAGAAACAAATAGCAATGAGACAGTTTCAAACCAAATTGGTAGGACAGTTTCAACAATTAACACATTGCATACATTCTTCCTAGTGGTTAATTGCTGCACAAGATGCGGACATGATATTCTATCTACAAACACCATCAGAAAAAATCACTCTATTCAT